GGAGGTCAGGAGTTCTAGACCAGCCTGAGCAAGAGTGAGACCCCCATCTCTACTAAAAATAGAAAAAAAATAGCCGGGCAACTAAAAATAGAAACAAAAAATTAGTTGGGTACAGTGGCATCCACCTGTAATCCCATCTACTCAGGAGGCTGAGGCAGGAGGATCATTTGAGCCCAGGAGTTTGAGGTTGCTGTGAGCTAGGCTGACGCCATAGCACTCTAGCCCGGGTGACAAAGTGAGACTCTGTTTCCAAAAAAAAAAAAAAAGGGAGATTATAAAGTACGGAGGAGGTGTTGAAGACATAGTTGTGCCAGACTGGCCCTTTCTCCTTGGTGTGATCAGAATAGTTAAAAGTGGAAAGTTTCTATAATTCAGAATCATGAGGACCCAGGCTGGTGAACTGTTTAAAGTGATCTCGGTACCAGTGCGACGCCCAGCCACATTTCACCCCACGCCTGGTGTGTTCCTGGGCAAATATTAATAGTGACTGAGAATTTCCATGTGCCAGGCCCTGCGCTCAGAGCTGGAGGCACAAAGATGCGTCATGTGAGGTCCTTGCCGATTTGGTAGGGGCCGTGGCGATCAGTGGTGGGCGGGAGGCAAACTTGAGGGCCGTATGCACACAGAGGGGACACCCACCAGAGTGGCGGGGAGGCTGGCCACAGGAGGCTCCTGGAGGTGCTGGTTGTACCTACAGCCTTTGAAGGAATTGCTTTCCAGGCCGGGAGAGTGAGGAAGGGCTTCCAGAACAAGGAGACAGCAGGGCCAAAGGCCTGGAGGGGAGTCCGGCAGGCTGTGGTGTGTGTCTGTGTGTGTGTGTATGGGGAAGGGGCAAGGGCGAGGTGGACGTGAGTGGCTGGGACATAAAGGACAAGGGGGTGGAGGCAGCAGTGAGAGGCGAGGCCGGAGAGGAAACAAGACTGACAGCTGCTGAGTGGCACATGGACAGGAGGAGCCAGGCTGGGACAGCCGAGCCCTAGATGGAGGCTGCTGGGACCATCCATCAGGTGAAGGCTGGTGGAATCCTGGCCTTGGGTGACATTGGGAATGGGAGGTGAGCAGGGCTTGGAGGCATCTTAGCGAGGGGCTGGGAGGGAGCTGCTCAGGCCAGGCCCTTGGGCAGAGTGGACCCCGAGCCCCTGTCTGGAAACCCTGAGTAGCTGCAGGAGAAGGCGGACTCCCCCACCCCCTCTTTTCTCCCTCCTGCCTTTCCACACCTTAGACCAGCTTGTCTGCCCCCCTTGGTGCCCAGAGGTCTAGCAGACCCGCAAACTCAGTCACCTGGGCTGTGTAACCCAGAAACAGCGAACGCTCCACACCTTCCTGCTGAAACCCCACAAGGGAAAAGCTTGAAATCTGTGGTGCTCCTGCCGGAAGGACAAGAAGTGGGCCGGTCTCATTCATATTTGCACCTCAGCACCCACAGCCCGTGTCCAGCACGTGGGAGGCACTGAGTGTGTGCGTTGCGTGAGTGGATGGTGGGTGGATGTCAGCATCTTGCTCGTGTTGTTTCCCATACGCCTAGCGGGCTGCCTGGCACATAGGATGTACTTATCAAATCAAAGGAATGAGTGAATGAATGTCTCAATGAGGGAGGAAGGAAGGAAAGTAGTAAAAAAAGGAAAGAAATAGTCTTTTGACTTTGGTATCCCCAGGGCCTATATAACATAGTATGTGGCACATAGTAGTTGAATGGATGCATGAATGAATGAATGAATGAATAAAAGAAGAGAGGGAAGGAGGAAAGAAGGAAGGAAAAAAATGAAGGAAAGAAGTAGCCTTGCTCCCCTTTGTGTGTCTTCAGCCAGTGCTAGGTGTGACATAGTAGGTGCTCAGCGAGTATCTGTTGGGTGCTAACTGCATGAATGTCAGAGGGGTCAGAGCCACTCTCTTCCAGGTCAGGCTGGCTCTCCCCAAGGGCCCCAGCACCTCAAGTGATCTTACATCTGCCCTGGCAGGTGGACGAGCAGATTCATGCCTGCTACGCGCAGACCATGGCCGAGTGGCTGGGCTGCGAGGCGATCGTGCGGCAGAGGGAGCGGGAGTCCCACGCTGCAGCCCTGGCCAAATGCTCCTCAGGGGCCAGCCTGGACAGCCACCTGCACCGGATGATGCACAGGGACTCCACTATCAGCAACGAGGTGATGGCAGTGGCCTCAGGGAGCCGGAGGGGTGGCGAAGGCCAGGACGTGCTTCATCAGGCAGTTCCAAGAGTGGGGAAGGCTAAGAGTCTGGGGCCTTGGGACAGTCTCACCCCTGGCTTTGTTTCTGAGGATGGAGGGTGACTCTGGAATCAGACCTGGGTTCAAACTCCAGCCCCACCATTTCCTAGCTCTGGGGTCTCCTGCAAGCACCTTTTCTTCTGGGCCTCAGTTTCTGCATCTGTAAGGTGGGAATAATCAGGTATACAAGGTTTGCATACAGCTGAAACAAGACAGTGTCTATAAAGCCCCTAGCACAGTGGCTGACTTTAATTGATTTAACAAATGCTTATGGGGCTTCTCTTCCTCAGCCCGGCGAAGGGGACTTCCTCTCAGCCACCACCGCCGCCGCCTGACAAGCCCCGCCGCTCCCGCGGCCGCCATGCAGTTTATGTTGCTTTTTAGTCGTCAGGGAAAGCTTCGACTGCAGAAATGGTATGTCCCGCTATCAAACAAAGAGAAGAAAAAGATTACAAGAGAACTTGTTCAAACCGTTTTAGCAAGGAAACCGAAAATGTGCAGCTTCCTTGAGTGGCGTGATCTGAAGATTGTTTACAAAAGATATGCTAGTCTGTATTTTTGCTGTGCTATTGAGGATCAGGACAATGAACTAATTACCCTGGAAATAATTCATCGTTATGTGGAATTACTTGACTTGATATCATCTTTAATTTTGAGAAGGCTTATTTTATTTTAGATGAGTTTCTTTTGGGAGGGGAAGTTCAGGAAACATCCAAGAAAAATGTCCTTAAAGCAATTGAGCAGGCCGACCTACTGCAGGAGAAAACACAGAATATGTATCACAGCAAGAGTTTCATTGGGTGTAAGAAAGCGTACTAGAATACGTGCTGGAGTACAGACATGCATCAAAATGTAGTAGGATAT